TTTTTTTAGAAACGAACCGCGGTAAACGTATTCCCCGTGCTAATACGAACGACACAGGATGCGCGCCCGAGATATTAAAAAACTTTCTCTCGAGCGTGCAGGAGAATTTGTACATTTTTTCGTGGCATATACACGAACGTCAGTGCAAAAAGTAAATCGGCCGGGTATAGTGTCGAAAAGAGGGTGACGGACGGGCGGAGGGCGGGCGCCTCGCCCGGGTTGGTTAAGAGAGAAACGCACGAAAGTTGGAAAAATATTTTTCACCTGTTTTGCGGCTGCTTTTTCCCCCTTCTCCGTCCCTCTTCCTCCTCCTGTCCTGGCAAGAAGCACGTTGCTAAACTAAACTAATAATAATATCTCGAGCATATGGCGTCGCCGGTGGAAACTTTACACGTTCGCCAGGCAAAAATGGCAGACGTGCGCAAGGAACGAGCCACCGTGGCTCGTTGCATTTTTCTCGTATCAAACCCGACGCGAGACCGTCTTTTACACCCTGTGTCGCTGAAACCAAGTGTCTGAATTCCAACCAGCTCAGATCCCGCTGAATCCATCGCCACGAGCGTTAACGCTCGTCGTTTCCTTTTATTTTTTGGGGGGGAGGGGGGAAGGGGAAATAATCAAACGACGGTCGGTCGGTCGTTCGCGATAACGGCACGAAATGGCCTTTCAAACGATGACCCGGTGGATCGATAATTATCGCGGCGATATCTCACAAGCGGCGAAATTTAACTTTTAATTTCCTTCATTTTCCACGGGCAAAGGTTCGCAGAGAGGCCATTGAAAGCTCCGACCAGTGAACGAGCCCTAACCGTAAAGTCCACGCGGACGCGGCTACTTACGTTTTGGAAATTAAATTTTTTCGTTTACAGTTTCTCGAACGCGGAGGCAATTTCCCGGCCAGTAATTTCGAAACTTTACGAGTTTACGACTTGGACGCAAACCTTTCCCAGAGAATATACGGATTTCCTTTACGCGTCACATATTCGTAATTACCTATGGCTATGAACCCACCCCGGTAATTCTATTTCCGTTAAAAGTCGTTTCTTTGCCGATTAAAGGAAACTCGATCGAGAAATTCTCTCGTCTCTGAAAGCGGAATTTCACGGTTTTCACCCGCGTGGTTCTTCCGTCCGAGTGGAATCTCGGGTTTCCGACCAAGTTAGCCTTGGAAACCGAACTGACCCGTGGCGATCTCTTGCTCGCGGCCGGATCAGCATGAATTGCGCATAGGCAGAGCTTGCGCGGATTAAACCGAGTTTATAAAGCGAAAGCTCGTTGATATTCAGATTCCGAGTTGACGCGTTGCGTCTAACGGGGAAGAGAACATCGGCCGGCGTGTCGATGAAACATTCCCACGAATTCGTTTGAATTCATTTAAAAACTCGTTTACAGATCGGTGAACGTTCCTAACCTAAACCAGATAATGCAGCGAATTACGAATGCAGCTACGTACTGCGGGCAAATGGAAGGTTCTCTCTCCTCGGGTCCTCGGATCGATCGGATCGATAGTTTCGAAAACGGATAAGAGGCGGCGAGATAATACTTGTTTCTGAAGAGGGTAAAAGCTGTATCGGAGGAGCGATAACGGCGACGCTGCTTGAAATAGAATCTGAAACGTTTACTTTCTTATCGGCGAAGCCGTAAGAACGGCGAAATTAGCCTGAATCGTGAAACGCGCGCCGAGCAGCCGTGGTTTTGACACGATCGGGCCTAGCGTAACGATCGCGTTGCGAAGCGTGACTCTCCCTCTTTCTCTCCGTTCCTCCCTCGTCTTCTCTGTCTTCCACGTCGACGGGAATTAGCGATGCCCTGGCTAACGTCTATATACCTTATATCGTATATTCCCCCTTGGCGATGACGCAAATACACGTCTAGTATCGTGTCAGCGTAAACATTGCCCGTGCTGACTCCGCCCGGGGACCACCGTGTGCATCGATCAATGTACAACAGAGAGATCCGTCTCTCCCCGTGAATCTAAATTTCCCGCCAACTTTGAAAAATTGATCGTTGACCTGGCTCCCGTTAGTTAAGCCTCGTTGCCTATCGAGGAGGAAGACGGATTTCGTGAAATTCGCGTCGAGTAGCGAGACTTGTTTCACGAAATCAAGGTACACGCGTATTTCTGAAACTGAAACGAAATATTTTGAAACTGAAATTTCGTCGTGTAGAGTAGACTCGTTTCGTTGTGGTTTCCTTCCCCCCCCCCCCTCTCTCTCGTACTCGGAAATATACTTGCGTCGCGAAAATATTTACAAGTTCGGCGACCGGTTCGTGCCTATCCAAAGTAAAGCGAACGAAATATTCCGAGTTGTCCTTTCTCTCTCTCTCTCTCTCTCTCGCCGTAATATTCTCCGGCTGAAACCAGTTTTAAAATCAGTCGTCATTCAGCTGTCGCTTGGCGCAGTGATCGTTCGTGGATCGCTAATTACAATTCCTGAAATATGAATTCCCGTCTGTTCAAGTTCGATATTTCGACGTGCCTGTTTGCGTACTTGCCTATGCGGTAATTTGACGAGTGTAACTTTTAACCAGGTGAGAGATTCTTGTTACTTGTTCAGTTGCTGAATATTGTCAAATATTGCGAATACGTTCAAAGAGATAGACACAATTCGTAGAAAATTGTTTTTGCTGCTGTTCCGGTTGCCTCTCCGGTAGACGCGTAGTTAAATGTAGTTTTATATGAAACGCGTATGGTTTAATTAAATTTTGTCAAACATATGTACGCCGGTTCACTCGGAAATGATATATATATATATATATATATATATATATATATATATATATATATATATATATATATATATATATACGTATATATTTTAACGTGCAATTAGTATATCGCGCAGAGTCAGCGGTCGAAATTACATTCTTCTCGGAGCTAATTTCCTGACTGCAGCGAACAGTACCAATAGCAGCGGCGGCCTGCTGAACTTGATAATTACCATAGCCTGATTAATCGTCGGCCGCTAATCGAGTAATAATTCGACTAATGACGATCGCACGGCAACAACCTAGTATGAATAATTTGACGATACGAATAATCACCCTTGTGTGATGAATAATACATGACAAATTAATCCCGAAAACTAACGCGAAACCGCGCGCGCGGTGCAATTTTGCAACCCTGCACCGCGTCTTCTATCAATTTCCCTCGGATCGGTCTCTCTATTAAGCTCGTAAAACGTATCGCGCATGATATACATATATATACGAGGAGACACGAGGTTAAAAAGGAAAATGGGCAAAAAAGGAAAATTGGAACGACGAGAGCAGTCCCTCTTCCGCTCCCTCTCAAAAATGAAAAAAAAAAGAAGAATTGGCGCAAAAGAAAGAAGGGTGCAAAAGAGAATGGATTAAAAAGAAAGAAGAGGAAAAAAAAAATGCGGAAGATTGAAGCGTGCTACTAATTAAAATGCAAATGGCCGCGTTTTATTAACGTCGAGAGTGGCGGACGCGTCGTAAGTAATGCCACGGTTTTACGGGGGACGAGTATTAGCGTGGCTTTTATCCTTGCCTGATTACCCCGATAGATCCATTTGTCTCGATTAACATGTCCTGTTAATTCGATCAACCGGAATTCCATTTCCTGTTAATACCTTTCCCGTCATCGTGACAGGATCGTTGCGTCGCAGTCAAAGAGACTCTGTGCCTTTCCCACCCGGACGCGGGCAAATTATTATGCCGGGTTCGTTCCGCCCCCGTGCGTTTTCTCTCTTTGTGTTCCCCGCGAAGATGAACGCGGGGGTTGCAGCGCGTGTCCTCCGTTCCCGGTACACGCGCGTGAATGTTTCAGCTGTGCAATTTGCCGGACCTGGCTTGACATTCATGGTATTCTTTTGTCCTGCGTAATTGGGTCAAGCGCTTCAAGCGTGCATATTTGCTCCGCCGTCGGTTCAGTTGCGGACAAATACCCCTTCGGTCTGGCGTCTAGCGTAAAGGCTAGGCCTCGTCGATCGTAAAACACGGAAGATCCTGCCTGATCACCCTGACGAGAAAATTCGCCACTGCAAGGAAAAGAGCCAGCGGGTTTCTAACGTTCCGAGTCTCGTGTTGCCGTGCACCGTCGCGTTCTTCGTGACGTTTCTAAAAAATTCACGCCGGTGTCTAGTTTAAGAGTCTCGTGGCACGTAAATACGGAATGGGTAATGAACAGCTGTCCTTATTTCTCGCGTTTTTACTTTCTTCTTTTATCTTCCTCTCGTGCGGTTGAACGGCCGCAACAAACGGTCGCAACGCAAAACTCGGCGAGGCCGACAGTGGGAAATATAACGCGGGAACGTGCCGCGGAATATTTTATATCAGATGAAAATGTTTCATTGCCAGCGTGCCGTTTGGTTTTACCATCGGCGCATTGTGGATTTTCCACGTGTAATCTCACAGGCGGCTGGCTACCGTATTAAAAACCACCGGAACGATGCGTTTAAATAATTAACCCCGCCGTTGAATGTTTCGCTGAATTTTTCATCGCGACGTGAAGCGTTAAGTAGCTCGCGCCGCGTGCACATTCCCGAACGACGTTGCGATTTGATCGTCCGCAAAGTGATAACCGACGATTCGTACGAGGTCGAGTCCGAGATAATTCGATATACGGTGCGAAACGAGCCGATTCGAGCCGATACGAGCCGATTGCGCCGGCGAATGTTCTTTTAATTCGGCCAGACGCCAGCGGAGATCCCGCCGAGCTAGCGTTTTAAATAAGCAAGCCCCGTAGGAGAAGCGAGCAGGAACATTTTGTTTCGCAGTGGATTTCGTAGCAGACATGGCCGGATACAGGGCCTCTGCATGGATAATAAACGACTTTCGGTAGTTGAGCGGGCTACGTTTCAGCCTTCGTATTTTGAGATGCTCGCCGGGGGTTCTCCGGTCGCAGCCATCTCCGACGCGCTATCCTCGCTTCGTTTCACGTGCCACGCGCTCTCTCTCCAAGAAACTTCCGCCCGTAACTTGTACCTCTCTATTTTGTGCCGCAGGATATCATAGCTCACGAGGCAGGAATGGTGTTCCACGTCGTAAACCTCATCGTGATGGTGCTGGTGCCGATGGTGGTCATCCACGTGAAGGATTCCGGATTCAGCTTGTGTAAGCGCCATTTTACGTATCATTTCATTCAACGGGATTCTCCGGCTACCGCTAAGGTCGATATCGCTCGTGTACGAGCGCGCCCGGCTATCGAAATGAAATATAGGAAATGGGGAAGTAGCCGTCGCGCGGCAACGCCGGTGTCTTTGCCGTGGCGTAACGGCGTTTCCGTTGCGGCGAACACGCTGTTGACACACACACACACACATACACACAGACCGTTCAAGATGGAGATTCACGGCCGCTGCTATAAATTTTAATTTTCTAAGGATCAACGCTGCGCCGCGACGATGTCGCGTAGACATCATTTTCAGTTGTAGGATTTAGCGGGTGAAATTCTTCTCGGTCGTGCTCGGGCGTTCTCCGAATGAATTATCGAAATAAAAGGACCGACGAAGGCACCACGAAGTCCATGAATCCAGCGTTAGAGAGGAGAGCGGCGAAAACGTTACCTGCAGCTCACGTCAGCTGTAGAGCGTAGAGCTGCTCTGTGTCCATTTACGAGCGCACACCTCGTACGGTTACGGTTGAACAATTTTGAATTATTCTGTCTGCGCGAGCTCCAAAAATGCGGAAGCTTGCCGACTCGAGGACGTACAAAGGAAGGAATGTCGGATCGAAACTTTTAGCTGCAATGGAGCTTTATAGCATTCCGTGAATTGCGGGCGTCGTTTCCTCTTTTCGCGCGAATATTGGTGTCCGTTGAGCTGTTTAATTATCGAAACCCTATCGTGCACGACGGCGCATTGCCGTTTAATCTACCTGCCATTGTAAAGCAGAATGCCCGACAGCTTTTTAATTTTTCTCTCTTTCCTCTTCTCTCTCTCTCTCTCTCTCTCTCTCTCTTTAATTATCTGGACCAACATAAATCAGGCCGTTGTTTACAACTTTTGCGATCGGGACAGATCCGCCAACATTCGCATTGATTAACGAGATATCACTGATTTCACGCTCATTAGCGGAAAATTTTCAATTTTCAGCGCGTGGTATTTCGCGCGCGCATGTGGATTAGTCGTTTCTGCCCGCGGCGGCTGGCTCGGTCGTCGTCGCTTGACGTTGCTTGAATTCTCGTTACCGGGGAACGCCGCCCGGACGGAGCGTTATAGCGTCGTATCAAAAATTCTATTTAAATGCAATACGCACGGTGATCCGTCCGAGTTCCGAGCGGTCGAGTGTCATCGTACACGCAAATGCAATTACACGACCGGCCGATTGATCTACAATTCGGTCGATCGATTCGTTCGATTATACCGCCTGCGAACCCTCGAGGTCTGAATTAGCCGGGAAACAAAATTTCATTATTTGTTGGGTTGAATCGCGATATTTCATACATACGTACGTATTGTTCCAACGTATTCCAATATTTGTTTTACTTTTCCATTCCGAATTCTTCGCCGAGTAATTTCCCATCCGAGTCCACAGTGAGTTTTGTTTGTTGATTATTCTCGATTCTTAGATGCGCGAAACGTTTCGAACGCGTTTCTCGGTTAATTCCGGCCGCGGAGAACGTTCGAATTCACGCTGTTTACCGGGCCGGGGGCGCGTGAAGGGAAACCAAACGAATAATTAAAGCCACCGGAGAGACCGGCGGCAATCGGTGGAAAAAGTTTCTCGCCGATCTGGTTGGTCGCGAATGAGGCGCGGGATCGCGAATCTCAATTAAAAGAGATTTTATTGGAACGTCTCTCAAGATTGGCGGGAGGCGCGCGAAGCGCGCCGGAAACGATCGAAGAAAAGCAATTAAAGAGTAAGCACATCGAAGAAGAATCCGGAGAAGGCGGCACTCTAATTAAAGGATTTCGAATTAAAACATCTCGGACAATGGACGCGTTCCGCGATCTTTGCGCTGGCTGGCGGTTTTTTTCCTCGATTTTCCGTGAACGAACTTGGATCACGAAATTCGAAGTCGAGATAGCGTTACGATAACCGTAAAGGATTTAAAGCTCAAAGTTTCAGCAGGGTAAGGAGAAAAAGCGAGACAAATATTTCGCGTTGATCGAAGAGATATTTCGCCGGATTAAAGAAACTAACGAGAGGCGCGTGTAACAGGAAAGTTGTCTCGCTCGAGCAGATGCTTTTGTTGTTGGGAGGACCTTCTTTTCTTTTTACTGACGATGGTACAGCGATTTGTGTTCGTTGCAAGGTTTTATGATGTCTTTCGAGTTGTTCTTCCTTGACTGAGACATCCGAGTTTATTGCGAATCTTCCATCTTGGTCAGAAAACTGTAGTAATTCCTTCTTCCTTCTGTCGTATAACAATATATCAAGAAAGTTTGATATATTTGCTGGATTTAAACGTTTCGTAGTTTCGTAAACAGCGTCGCGGTAGCGAGCAATTGCCATCGTTTGTCGTAACATTGGTCCCCGATTCAGCCGTTTGTTCTTGAGAAAGGAATTGAAGTTGAAATGAAAATTAACAAACCACTCTAAAACCATCTTCGACTCTCTTGAAAAACTTTCTTTCCTATTTATGGTCTTGACAACTTATCCGAATGATTCTTCCCTTACTTTCAACTTCCCTTACTCTCAATTCTACCGCACTTTCAAGCGTCTCGCACACGCGCAACCCTATAGACACGAATAACTCTGCTGCCACATGGTGTCTATCTCTTTCTCTATAACTACGTTCCCGATATTTTTCACGCGCGACAAGAAAGTCGAAGAAAGAAAAGAAAAGGAAGGAAAAGAAAAGTAAAGAAAAAAAAAAGAGAAGAAAAGGGTGAGGAGAAGAGGCGAGAGAAGTGAGTCGACGATGGAGCGAGCCGGACAAATCCGTGAACAACAACTGGCGAGAAAAGTCGTCGCGTCTCGTGACACGTGAGCCACATAGAGATTCATACGTCAACTAGTCGGTACATCCGGTTGTGTAAGCGCTTCTTAAAAGTTCTGAAGTCTGGCGCGAGTGCGCCTACAGCCTAAAAGTAGTACGATTGAAGTGGCTGTGCCAGGAGAACAAGGGCCGACCTTCTTTTCTTCATCTGCTCCTTCTTTTTCTTCTTCTTCTTCGTTCCGTCTTTTCTTCGTACTTTTCCCTCTTCGGCTTCTTTTCCACCACGGTTCGTCGAGATTCTCGACCATCGACTTGACACGCGCGAAACTCACGTACGCGCGCGCGAGAAGGAGTACGCACTCGAAAGGAAAAGAGTGGAGGGAGAAAAAACGGCTAGACCCTGGCTAGCGCAGACCTGACGAGCTCGTGTCGAGATCCTCGAGGTCTTTGCGAGGTCGAGGCTGCTGGCGCGCGCCGCGTTTCAAAGCAGTTTTGTCTTTCGATTGCCGGCGTGAAAGGACGCAAAGCAACCCTGAGCCTCCGTAATTATCGACGAGCGGTTTTATTCGAGCTCCCTTTGCTGGCCGCCGGAATTAAAGACGTCAATGCTCGCCACTTAGCGCCGTCGCTCGTCGGGGCGCGAACGAAAGAAAAAAAGAAAAAAAA